GCTCTTTATAATTTTATAATTTCGGTGACGTGGAAAAGAGAATTAACCCTATAATGCCAAATGTATCATATTTGATAGATACGGTTTCTGAAGTCTTTTGGATCTGAGACTTTTTGCATCATTCAGTGGTAAAAGCTTTGCTCAAAGCCCTGTTGTACACATTCAGATATACCTGATAACAGCCAGTAGAAGACTACACCAAAATATATTTTTGACTTATTGCACGCTAATTTGATCAAAATAATTCCTGTTTATTTTTCTTCATATGTTGTTGAGGGGCCAAAGAAAGACTTCAGACAAAAAAAAATCCAATATTCTTCCTATTTTTCTTGGATGTGGCTTTGAAGGGTTAAAAAGTGAATGAAGATGGACGACCACCTTGTCTGTGCTGATGTCCTTCCGAGATGCTTTTAATGACCATCCTACCGTGTGTGGACATTCCCCCCATAGCGACTTCTGTCTGTCCACGTGTTGTCAGCACACACACACACACACACACACACACACACACACACACACACACACAGACACACACGATTAGGAAAAAGTTACATGGACTTCAGAATCAGAAATACTTTAAAAATCCCAAAGGGAAATTATTTTTCATTTTAATAATTTAATTATTATAATGATAATAATTTATTATAATTTAATAATAATATTATAAATATTATTATATATAAATACTATAATATTATAAATATGATATATTATATAAATATATTATAATATATAATATAATAATATAATATTAATAATAATAATAATTTAATAATTCATATTATTATATGAATTCCCTGCAGGAAAGACCACTTCAAAAGCTGACGGAGCCCAGTTTGATGCTCCATCCTGTCAGGACTTCCACTGGGAGCTCCACACTGGAGTTATTTAGTCAAATCAAACGCACGAACACGCACTCGTGAGGAAAATTCACTCCGAAATCTGTGCAATGCTGTCCGATTTCATCAAATTTGTTGCACACGCAAGTCTTTTTTCATTTTTGCAGGCAATAATTAAGCTTAATTGAGCAGTTTTTATGAATTCGGGGATGTTTGTCCATGTAAATTGACTCGATTCGTTCTGACAAGTTAAAGCTTCCTGATGAAGTCGAGCAGGCCGATCTTAAGAGGACAAAATACAACAAAACGCGGAGTCTGGCTCCAGGGGAAAGCGTCAAATCTCGTTGGCTTGTGTTAACAGCAACTTGGGCTGAAGCTAAACCAGAAACAGAGAAACGGGATTAAATATAATCCAGAGCAAATGCTTAAACTCCACGGTTTAAGTTTGGTTTACGGTGTTTCTGGAATAACTGGAGCTGCTCAGGATCCTTCAGCCTGCCTCGTCCAAGCCAGCTTTTTGGGTCCAACATTTGTAGCTTGAATTATCTGCTTTTGTTCTGTGAACAAATCCAGTTCCAGTTAGTTTATGTAGAAAAATGACTCGCCAAATTCACTATTTGGTAACAGACCCAACACAAATAAGAAGAAACTTCCATCTCCCTTCTCAATTGTTCCTTCTTCTAAATTCTGGACTCTCAGTGGGATCACAAAGGATGGAGGTCTAAAAAATAGGATGAAAAAGGTGTTTTTATATAGACCTGAAGTCTCTTTTATCCACGTTCTGACTCATTAGCATCAGTTTTAAAGTGGAGTTTTTGCTTGGTTTGTTCTGTTTAGTTGTTGTTTTGTGTTAACTTAAACTTGGGCTGAAGCTAAACCGGAAACAGATCAAACGGGATCAAACCTAATCCCACAGCACAAGCTTAAAGGAGTCATATTATACCCTATTTCAACAAGTTAAGCTAGTTCCCTGGTGTCCTAATGTAATGTCTGTGACAAGCTTTGGTCAAAATCCCATAAGGAAGAAGCCCAATAGCAGTTCATCCCCCCTGCCAAAACAGCCCACGTCGGCACGCTAACGCTACCATGCTAACGCTACCATGCTAACGCTACCATGCTAACGCTCACGTTACCATGCTAACGCTACCATTCTAATGCTACCATGCTAACGCTCACGCTACCAGGACGTCTCCACAGATAGGGGAGTAAGCTGAGGGGGGGGCAACATGCAGGTGAAAGGCTGGAATATTATAATGAGCTAGAGCTAATGACGTCAGAAACTACCCACTCCTGAAACCTCCTGATTTATCTCCTGCATTCAGACTGAGGCGGCCCACAAAAACATGACCGAGTCATTTCTTTTCACACTTTTTCCTGCTGATAGGCCCTCCACAGTCCCAAATGTACACAATCAAATAATTAAAAACTTGGTTTGGCATAATATGTCCCCTTCAAACCCTGCAGTTTAGGTTTGGTTTAGCTGCTTTGGGATCCTCAAACCGACAGGAATAAAGACGATAACGACGACGATGGAATTTAATTTAATCTTTAATTAAACCTCGGCCTCCCTCTGAATTGCAAAGACGAGCTGTTACGAAACCAATACCGGTTAAAATAGTTACGCAAGAGTCACGGGAGAGGAGCCCCGGGCGTCTCATGACCGCTGTAGGGGGTCGGGGGGGCTTGTTTTGGGTTCCTGAGGGGGGGGACCAGGCTCGTTAGGCCTGGATGTGGGGGTTACTCCATTTTTCATCAGATCCCAACCAGCCGGGAAGGTTGTCGCAAAACATTTGAAGCTATTCGATTTCTTGTGCTCTAACGTGCTAAAAGAGTCACTCAAATGGCACTTTATACAAAAAAAACAACAACAAACAAACAAAGAAAAAGACGAGAGAAACAATATTCTAACTGGACGAGAAAACTTCCGAAATGCGGAAAATCCGAAGATTGGTTGAGAATATTTAATTACTTTTACGCCTCAATTTTTAACCCTGTAATGCCAAACGTATCATATTTTATACGTACGGTTTCTGAAATGTTTTGCGTCTGACTCCTTTTGCATAATTTAATGGTAAAAACTTCAAAAAACTTGGCCAAAAATCCTTTTGTACACAATCAGATACACCTGATAACAGGGGGCAGAAGACAAATAAAGAAAAATAATCTTGACTTATCGCATAGTAATAAATTATTAATAATAAAGATGTCTTTCTGTTTTTTCTTTTTACATATTTCGTTAAAAGGCCAAATAAGGAATTCAAACAAAAAAAAAGTCATTTTCTGTTTTGTTTTATTCTTGGATCAGGCTTTAAAGGGTTAAGATAAGGCACTTGTTCTGATCCCTTAATGGGCATTAAGGGACATTAATGGGGCATTCAGATATGTACTTTTAGGATAAGTTTCTGAAATAAAACGATGTCCTGTGACTTTTGGCTCATCCTGTAAATACTTGTACATACATATCCTGATAAATAGATAAAGACAAGATATACATGCACGTATATAAAGACATAAACAGACCTCAACAATCATCTGACACTCTTTCTATGTCAACCATTCTCATGGATAATATTTTGTAGTCTGGAGTTTTATATTTTATTTAGTTTTTTCTTATCTTTTGATGGTTTGATTCTTTTCTCTCATTTGGTTTGTATTCCTGATTTTTTGTGTGGTATTTGTGTTTTTATTTTTATTCAGTTGCTCCCATGGTCTCCATGGTCTCACCTTCACCCCCCCCCTTGCAAACCACTCTGTATTTTTTCCATTCGGTTTGTTTTTTTGGAGGTGGGTTTCGGCCTCATTTAGCTCTCGTTGTTTCTGTTCTGTTTTGTTTTGTTTCCCTGGAGTTTTTTGGGTCTGCCGCGTCTTTTGTTCTCTTTTTTTTTTTTTTTTTTCAACAAATCACTTAGCTTTCCTTCAGAACTGCCTCATCCAAGCCAGCTCTCTGGGTCCAACTCATCCGTGACATTTGTAGCTTGAATTATCTGCTGTTGTTCCGCGAACAAATCCAGTTCCAGTCAGTTTATGTAGGAAAATGACACGCCAAATTCACTATTTGGTAACAGACCCAACACAAATAAGAAGAAACTCTCCAGCTCACTTCTCATTTGTTCCTTCTTCTAAACTCTGGACTCTCAGTGGGATCAGAAAAGATAAAAATTTAGAAAAAAGGATGAAAAAGGTGTTTTTTATATAGACCTGAAGTCTCTTTTATCCACGTTTCTGACTCTTTAGCATCAGGGGCGTAACGAGGGTTTGATTCTGATTGATAATGATTGCTTAAAAGTGGAGTTTCTGCTCGATTTGTTCCGTTTTGTTACATAAACTGAGTTACACTGAGACAAGAAACACAAGTTAAACTGTCTAAAAGAGAAAAAAAGTGAAATAAAATCTTATCCATGCATAGTAAGATGTGTCTAAATCCCACTGGATGTCAAACCCTGGTTGATATTGTGGATGGTGAAAATAGAAAGCCTTATTTCCTTTTTTCAGGTCAAAGGAACACAACCAGCAGACAGATGACCACAAACACGGCTCTTCCTGTCCTGCTGCTGTGCAAACAGAGGTTCGTTTCCTTCTGTCTGTGGGTCTGAACCTCTCCACCTCAATCATCAAACACCAACCCTCTGTTCTGCCGGGTTTCAGGGATTCTTCGGACTTTGGATGGTTTTTGTTGTTGTGTTTCGACTTGTTTGTGTCTCTATTTGGGTTCTGAGTTTCCCGTCTTTTTTCTGTGTTTGAATCATTTCCCAGGTCTTCGTTTTTTTCTGCTTTGTGTTCTCGGTTTTTAGTGTTTCTGATCAACCTGATTGCTTTCTGCTCTGCTTTTCTGTTTCAGTTTTGCACTTTCCCCGTGTTTTAACCCTGTAATGCTAAATGTATCATATTTGACACATACGGTTTCTGAAATGTTTTGCGTCTGACACCATTTGCATAATTTAATAGTAAAACTTTGGTCAAAATCCTATTGTACACAATCAGATACACCTGATAACAGGGGGCA